AGTGGACTTATGATGGGACAAACTTGAATGCCAAAAAGTTAAAAATCCAACGAGCTACCGATAATGGTTAAATAGCTTCCAGGTTTGTCCTCAAAGCCGACTACATTGTAAATGCATTCCTCTCCGAATCTAACAACTCACAATGCCTTTATAATCTGTCACAGTCGATAAATATCCAGGAAAAATCAAAAAAGGAGTACATCCCGTTAATCACACATCCCAAGAGGAAAACCAGGCGTCGAATACACTAGTTTATCTGCAGACTAGCAACACTCACTTTTTTGACGGCTTTTCTTTCAAAATTTACCGTTTCTTCACATCAAATGTAAAGAATCATGTTGACAGCAATGTGTCGTCATTACTCAACTTCGCACAACTCCCACCACTTTTTATGAAGTTTCATGCTTGAAGTTTTTTTACACCTGCAGCTACAGTACTCTCATTCTTAAGTGCTGGGTCGTATATCTGGGGACGAGCGCAATCAGAACTGCGTCATTAGGCCCGAATTCTGATTTAGGAGCTGTTCAGAGTTCAAAAATGTAAGCTGAAAGGAATAATCCCAAAGCGATCCGTGAAAGTGAGGAATCGTGTGAAAGCAGAGTTTTTTGATAGGTATTCGATGCTCCTAACTGATCCAGGAATGTTCTGGCCCTTAGTAACCCACCACAAAAATAATCACTTGAAACAGTTTTTTCTTCTTCGAAGCGTATTTTCAGAAATCGCTTTGGTTTCTTTTTTCGGATTTCTTCTGAGGCAGCAAAGATCTGTTCGTACTTATGAGGATGAGCTGTGTTACTGTAACTTGAGTGGGTAAGAACCTGTCTAGTACTGATATGGTATTTGCATTGTTTTACAAATGTTCTCAAAGTTTTTCCGATTTCATATTTTTTTTCTAGCATTTCCAAGCAAAACCATGCGTAAAGAATCCGAAATGTGTATACATTTACTTATAAAAGTGTCTATTTCTATTCTTGTATAATTTATGCGTTACCATTCCAAGATGTGAGGGGAATATGTTGCAATACATCGAAGCATTACAAATTCTTCAGAGAAGTCTACCTATAAAGTGTAATTTGGTATTCTTGGAAGGCGCCAGCCGGAATCGTCGCCGTCGTCGTCTTCGTCGTCGCGGAAACCACCTGATGAAAGTTTCATGTGTCGCTTTAAATCATCTAGAAAGTCAGTCCTATGCAATTCAATTTTTTATTACTCACTTTTCCTTTTTTCATTTAATTAATGAAAAATAGTTCCTTTTACGTTATTTTCTGATTCCATTAAGCAAAATCACGCTACGACATTTTACCAGCTTTAATTTTGCCAATTTGTATAGGGTTTTCTTCAATGTACATCTTTTTGTGTTCTAAATAGCGTTCTTTTTGTGTTCTAAATTGTTTGTATAAGGTCCACTATATTTGATTGAGGGTGTTGTTTCTGATTTGGCGAGGTTATAAAAAGTATAAGTCCCTATCCTTCAACGCTGCCAACAGGCTACTCAGACTTAGTGCTGTGAGACCTTCGGACCATTGGTTATCGAAAGCAGGCTGAACATGTGGGGGATTTGGTTCAGGTGAGTTCCATATCAAATGGAAGCTATGTTGTCCATCAAGTTTTCATGTTTTCGATTGCATAATTACCATAGTTTACAACAAAGATCACCAAATATATACCAAAATATCAGCCCATCCTATTTGAAAGCACAAAAAAACGTTTCTGCCGAAAAATGATAACGAAATCACCACAATATCATTATAATCATGAATTAGTTATTCCATAAATATTCCTAGCTATCAAAGAAAAGCAGCTGTGAAGGCGAGGTGGCATAGCGCAGGTGATACGTTTTGGCTAAAATTACGAAATCGTTTTCATAGAATATTTTTCATGATTTTTACTAGAATGCTCCTAAAATAGAGCAGCTATTGATCTGCCACATCAGTAAGTTTTTTGCCATATCCGTCTCTTACTAATGCTATCCACTGTTTACGATTAGATACTGAAGTACTATTGGTGATGTAATTCTAGTTATCAAAGAATACCGCGACAAGGTGGACACGGCCGCTGGCAAACGGCGGTCCGCTGTAGTAAATCAAGCCGTTCTTCTTATTGAGTCACTAGTACTTCGACGTTGGCTTCTGTCAAGTGATTTTTTCTGTCTTAGTTTTCCCCACGGCTTTGTAGCAACCTTTATCTGATCCTTTCAGATTTGAATCGATTAAATCGAGCAGAAGAGCCTACAGAGACGTGAGTTGAACACTACATCATATTTCTTGTTTGTTATTTCAGCCCTGGCTTTCCAATCTAATGCAGGACCTATTCAATTTCTTGACATTCTTCTAAATGAATGTATATAAATACTTGACCGAAGTCTATACCCACAGGCTGGGTACATTTTCTTTTTCTTTTTCAGTCATTATGAGTTTTTCCACTTTTCTATATCGTTGCATTTACTCTAGGTTTTTCGCATAAGTAGTTCTTTCTACTCATAACGGAACTATTCAATATTTATCAATGGTTACTTCATTTCTTATACCCAGCATTATCTTTCGATGCACAGGCTTTTCTTGAAGCAGAATTTCATATGGTCCAACGTTTTTTTCTCTGATGAGAGCCTTTTTCAAAGGAATCGAGTGATTTATATAATTTTTCTCAAGTTTTATTTGTAGTATTTTGTAGTTTTGTCAGAAATAGTTTTGTCTTCCGAGGCTGATAGATCCTCTACCACTACTGCCTAACTCTGCATCAAAAGTGTCAAGTGTCACTAGGTATATCGTCCGTTTGTCAGCGAAGCTTACCCTAAACCACACACCTGGTTTTTAGTTTGCCTTCACCGTTAGGCAACCATAAAACAGTGTCTCATATGTGCGTGGTCATAAATTCGCCTTGGTTTTTCCAATGTCTTTGTCTGCTTTCAAATGATTTGTCTTCTCGGTAACTTTGCCAGCCACATTCGATTTCATTTTTTTATCCGAACCGAAAGGGGCTTCGAAATACTCTTCTCACCACCTTCACGCCACTGCTGGGCACTGTTTGATTGATGGAGTGAAGATCCGTTGAAATTGTTTAAGTTGGTAAAGGGGTCAGAAATTATACATAGTACCAGCGCACTGTTTTCATATATGGGAACCTTTTTAGACATGGGTTTTCTTGTAGTCTTTGCGTGTCAATCTTTGAAATGCCGAAATTCCATGAATTCGCATGAAGGAGGATTCATAGCTGCCTTTCACTCAGTTCCAGGTTATACAAAGTCGGTCGCACTGATCACTCAGCTTCCAAAGTTTTTCAAGAACTTCGTTATCTGAATAGTGGTTAAATTACAAAGCTCGACCTTTGTGGGAAAACAGCGCTGATCCCGACGTGTGCATGTGTTATGTATAGTGGGTTGAAACTTACTTAAAAACTGTGGAGTTATTTACAATATCATGAAGTGAGTTCATAGCCCCTCACCCAGCACACCTATCGTTAGGTCTATTTTTTCGAAAAATCAACAGTTGCGTGAAGTGCTGATGCGCAACTAGGGGTTGTTAACCCCCTTGAGGAACTGCATAGTCGCTCAACTTATACGATAATCAATTTTAAATGTTGATAGTCATGGCATACAAAATCCATCGATGGGAACACGGTAGTTAACAGCAGCCGAACCAAAGAAGAGTAGTTAGATAGTGATACCTCAGAAACTCCTCCTCAAATCCTGTCACCGAAAAGAGGAGGTTCTCTGTTGACCTTGTGTCTTACAATTAAATTTTTACAAAAATTCTTCTAAAATTACTTTTTTTAACTCGGCCCGACTGTTCTCCGGCTCTCCCTAGCTGTTTCNTTTGTAGCATCTGCTGAACTACTTATAATACCGATAGCGTCAGCGGTAAGAAGTTTGCTGCAAATCTGTTCCCTTCACCAGAATTTTTTTGTGTCAAAATGTACTGTTATGGCACAGAATAGTCCTTAAAATAAGTCAGCTGTACTGATACATCACCCTTTGCTGTTTTATTTTTTATATAAAACGTTCCGAGCGAATTGGATTGATGGTGCATACCATTCGGTTGGTTGGATGTTTGAAGCTCTACGATTCAACCATCTTTTTTAGGATCGTCCTATAAATTCACGCCAGGTCATTGTTATGAAAGCTCTGGAGTAGGTCGAGCCTATCTTTGCTATCGCTACTGCCTATCTCTTCCTTTCTGGCACTGGTGTTGCTATGGAACTTTCTTATTTTATAAACTTCGTGGCAGGCTAGCTGCTCATCTCGCAGTTACCGTATCCTTATAGCACATCTGTCAATTACACACTGCTAATCCCGACTTGTTTTGAGAGGCGGCTAACGATGGCACATGTGTGTCTGAAAATGTAAGATGTCGCCACAATTGTGTCGTTAGCGCTAAATGTTTCAGCTAATGTGGCGACAACATTGTTACGCCACGCCCACTGTCACGACACTCGCGACTACTGTAGCGGTGGGTTGTAAAATCTCGTCCGGTCGCACTTATCACTGGTGCACAGGCGTTGTTAGGCGTGTGGCCGTGCCGTGGTAGGTGTCTCACATGCCTGTTTACGGATACGGTATTACTGCTCCTAACCTGTTTGCCAGTATACGGTATCGCTGACAATGTCTGGTAGGCAGCAGTTGTTTGTTGACATATGGGTCGTATATAATCTTCCATGACGGGGCTTTCCGTTTTGGTCATAAAAAGCTACTGTCTTGCTCCATCAAGCAAGTGACTCTTTCAGAGTTTGGCAACGGTGCTCTGTAGAAATTTCGCTGATACAGGGTTATCAGCTTTCTGACCTTTCATAGGTCCCCCAGACTTGTCTGCCGACTTTTTCTCCGGTAATCTCTGATGTGCTTTGATTTCACCCTTCCAGTTTGAATTTTCAGATTCTAACTTAAGTTGCACATGATTGTAGGCTTGTTTCACGTCATATTCCTTTGATATTATATATTCTCGTGATGAATTTCGTTTAATTTTTGGCGAAGCCACCTATTTAAGGACGATTCATTACAGATAAGAATGGAGTCGGGAGCTTGTCGCATACCTCCCTTTCCTCTGCTCTGGAATCCACTACTGCTACCATTTTCGACAGCGTTGATGGCAAAGCTTCAGGTAGAGCTTCGAATTTGAAATAATTGTCTTTTCTCATCATGGTACTCCTTTATAGTGCCGGCTTTGAGCAGTTGAAGGGAAATGGTTGCTCTTCAGTGAGGAAGCGCCTTCCACACTAACTTCTTCCTGCTTGCTATTCATTAGTATATGCTCAAGGAATTCTTATGGATCTGCTCCTTGCAGTAGGTCAAGCTTGGTAGCGGCAAACTTGAAACTCTAATCCTCTGATGCAACTAGCGTTCCGTCCTTTCCTTCGTCGTTCCGTTCTGTGATATCACAATTTTCTAATCCATAATGATAGTCTAGCCGGACAGCACTTCACTAACTTGAAAGTTTCCCGAAATTTGGGATGCATGTCCTGAAGGAGTTTTCTTGTGGTTATCTCGGTTCTACTAGCTCCCTGCTCCAGACATGATTGCTTACCACCAAGTATGATCATGAATTTTTCCTTGAGGACATTCATTTCCAGAAACTACTACGGGGTTTTCTTCCCTCACTGGGATATATTCAGAACCTTCACCATGGTTCATACATTTTTATAGGCAAAAAAGCAACTAACAGTAGTTGGCGGCTTTGAGAGGGCTGCGATAGCAGGGAGAATTAATTTTTCTTGATTTTCTGTTTTGTCTGTATTGCTGAGGTGTTCATTCATCAGAAAACTGGAACGTAAAAACTGACATTTCGAGGGTTTCAAATGGTTCCAGAACTTGAATTTTTTCTTATGATGTCGTAGCTGGTAAGCTGCTATAAATGAAGCCAGAATTGTTGCCTCTATTTATTCTTCAGATAAATTTCAATGGTTTGTTGTATTTTCAGAAAAAGTACTCGATCTCGTGCCCATCCATAATGATACCGTATCCGCCGTCACTTTCTCAGTTTGCGCCACCTTTTCCACTGTCGGCGCATGTGATGCAGACAAGTCCATCATCTCCATCGTGTAGTGTAGCTGCAAGCAGCGAAAGCAGTGAGTTCATTTACATGCCCATCCAAGATGGGAAACTTAGCATCAGCGCACATTTATTTTTCTGTTATATCTACTTATTTACCTCCTTTCAAACCTATCACATTTGGAAGGGTTGTAATTTGCTGAAGAGAAGACTGCGAGGCAGTGAACTGTGTTTACTTAACAACTATGCCTTTTCCTTCACTTACCCTTTATATGGACAGAAAAAAAATAAAATTAACCTCATTCTAGGTTCACCTTCCACGCCTTCCCCGTTGTTGTCAAAAAGTAAAAAGGAGCGTGATTGTCAGTGTGAAATTTGTGGAAAGACATTTGGACGTCACTGGCTTCTGCAAGGACACTTACGCACTCACAGTGAGCGGATTTTTCGTCTTTTCTCTTATTTTCCAAAATTTCGGTTTTTCAGCTGTTGCACTTGACAATATTTGTACGAAGGGTTGTTGAAATTATGCTTTAGAGGAAGGGTTGGATAAAAGACGCAGCTCTGGTGTTGTTTTTATGCGCCTTTCTAGATATTTTTGTGGTTTCGTTACTGTTTGGTCCCACTCGCCTTAGACTGGCTCCGGCTTAATTATTTTATCCGTCCAGTACCCTATGTCTTTTCACAACGGAATGAGCTCATACGAGCTTGAGCTTATCTCAGTGAATGTCCTTTGAGCACCGATTCGGCATATAGTTGGTTGTAGTACAGCTATCCTTACAAAATTATTTCTAGTTACTGAGGTGGACAGTCCTAATCATTGCATACATACTGTTTACAAAATTCACTGTGGGCATTCCAGTCATTATAAGTAAATGGTCGTGCAATAGCTGAACGACGTAATTTCTTTCAATTTTCTTACGGTTCTATCAAGTCATGATATATTCTCGTTGCAGCTGGTGAGAAGCCATTCTCGTGCAACATCTGTGGGAAAGCTTTCGCCGACAAAAGCAATCTTCGTGCTCACATTCAAACCCATAGCAGTGAGTTTTCAAGGGACTCTTTTCATGTAATCGAAAGATGCTTATGGTCTCCTTTCGTTTACTCAGGTAACCTAGCCTTACTGGAGTTTTTGTAGGTTCTATTTTTGGATGTACCTGTAGTTTCTGAATGAACTTCGATTACGAAAAAGTTCAAGGAGTTTACATATTGTTAAAACCCGTGACTCAGTAGTTTACTCCAATGGAAGCGTGCTGTGCTTAATTTAATTCCAATTTCTATCGATCAGCCTTAATTTATATATTTTTTGATTTGTTCCTCAATATTTTACCCATAGGTGTACAACTACTGTGTTCTAGGTGAAAAACCACATCACTGCCTACGATGTGGAAAACGATTTGCGCTGAAGTCATACCTTAGCAAGCATGAAGAATCGTCTTGCTACCGTAGCACGTCCACTAATTCCGACAGTGTTCCTACTGAGATAACAGCTAGCCCCGGCTTCCATCAACCATTGTCAATGTCATCCCTGCTCAAGTGAGATGACTCTAAGCTTTCCGTTTATACTTGCTGTAACAGCGCTACAAGAGACTTGACTACTTGTAATCGTCGTTTATGTGTGAATCCTAGCCTTCAGCGTGTTTATAATTTCGATATTTATTGCTTTCATTTTTGCTCAAAGCTTTATTGCCTTATTTTGTCGAGCGAGTGGCCTTAGGTCAGGGTGTGGCGCGTGTTCCTCTTGTCAGAGTGGTAGCACTTGCAGATTTCCGGTCGATGTGAGCGATACGATCGCTTGCGCGACGCCGTGTCTGATCTAGTGCTACTCGTCTATAACTGTTTTTTTATTGGTTACAGCTTCGCTTTTTGTTTTCTTTTCAATTTTTATCACCTTGCTCAGAAAGAAAAAATCCAGACTGCGAATTTAATAGCCTGTTTCTAATGTTTGACTTGAGCAGCTGGCTGCAAATTCGCTAAGTATAGAACCTGCCATTGTGTCGAAGGCCATAGTACTGTGCCATTATTATTTTACGCCTCGTTATAGATATCTATATAGTAATAATTATTTTTGCATGTATATACCATTGTATATCACCTATCGAGCTTTTGCACTTTTTCGTTTCTCATTGTTGCCTTATAGTATTGACTGTTGTACACGTGCCTTATCAAATTGATTTTTAAGTTTGGTTTTAAGGATGCAGTTGGCATTTGCAAGCTTGATAGACTGTATTGTAAGACTGTTACTATTTAATAATTGTCATAAAAGTTAAACAATCGTATTAATTAGAAATCCTCACAGGAAAACGCGTTACTAGTAATTGATCTTCGATGGTTTCCTTGGACACATGGTTTCCGAAAGGGTTCTGGGTACGGTATGAAAGAGAGCTCAGTTTCAAGAACTTCGACTTCAAGAACTTTCAAGAACTGGTACTCGAAAGGAGAAACGGACGGATGGGAAGAAGCGGTTGAATCCTCGACTGACCCACTACTTCATCTGTTTTCCGGAAAACCAGCTTTTCGGAAAGAATTCTGTTTAGTGGGTAGAACTTCTGATGGATAAGTTTGATATTCTCCGTGGCAGGACAAAACTGCATGTCATGTGTTTTTTGCTGTCCTTTTTTCCTTTTATCAGGATACCTTGCATTTTGGAATGGGTGGGGAAAGGGGATCGGTTTTGCCACTAGCATAGTGGCCTGTAATAAAACTAGTTGAAGGTCCAAAGCCCCATTGACAAACTATGACGACAAGCGGCACCAGCTGAAGCCCTCTGGTGCGACTTTACGATGCGGTCGCGTGTCGGTGACTGTAAATCGTCCATAAAACAATGCGGTACCCTTACTGTATAGATACTAAAAGAACTCTGTTGCGGAATCACTGTCATACGACAAATTCACTAATGCACTCCTACTGTCGAACAACCTGTTCGTTACATAACTCAGTGGGTTGGGGTTCAAAGAAAAGGTTAATCCAAATATACCCAAGGGGATGCCAGATAGCGCATAAGTAGAAACTTAAAAACAATGGCCCCATCTCGACTACTGAAGAAACCAAAAGATTAAAAGGAGAGATGAGTGCTTCAATGCTCTCTTCTCCTATAATAACCAGTAGTCGAGAGGTATTAATGAGTTTTGAAGAAATTAATTTGTGACATGACTGCAAGAATCGAACCATATGACACACTTCCCAGTGGAGGGTCATCTATTCGTCTCGCCAAAGGATAAAATCTCAGTATGGCTTCACTACGTAAGAATAGTTCCTGCCAAAATTGAGTCGCTGTCACCTGTTACAATCACGCGAAAAGTATAGTCCAGCAAAAATGAATGGATAGGAGTTTGAAAAGCCGGATGGCGATGGCAATACGTACATTGACATGAACGGGGCGGAGGTGGGGGGAGGGGGCATATCAACTCGGGCTGTCTTTCATATGTTAACCATATATGACGGTCAAAAAGATCGTTTATTAAAGACTCGCAGGTAATTGTAGAGAGAGTGTCGTAATTCTTGTATATGGGAAAGCAGGTCCCTATTTTGATTCCATGCATAAGCGTATCCATCCGTAAGGGCAAATGAGACAGTACAAGGGCGTTGTGCAATCTACTGAATGGTAAGTAAATTGACTTATAAATCCCATGTAGCATAAGGAGTCCGACAAATCATCTTTAAAAATTCAAATAGTTCACAAAAAGTTCTTCTGTCGAGTCTTAACTAGT